TGCTATTAATCAGTAGTGCATATTACAGCCAGCTGAGACCAGGAGCTCCACTGAAAACACTGTTATCATTTTGACATTACCATGGCCACAAATGCTCAAACACTGAAGAAGATGTACTGAATTATTAAGTCAAGTCATCTTAATTTATATAGTGCATTTAACAATAGAGATTGTTTCAAAGCAGCATGTACTGCAGTGATACTATGAAATAAATGCAACAAAGATTGTTTTAGCTGTATAGCAGAACAAAAAAAAATCATTGTCCAGATTAAGTTTGATTGCTTTTTTGGTTATAAACTTAGGGGCTGTTCACAAGACATCATTTTCAACTAAAAACAGAACACTTTTAATGTGTTCTCATTAAAAATAAAGTAATCAACAGGTTTATTTGCAGAAGTTTGTCAAGTTTTGATAACCACGCAAGTCGAACATGAGTACCTTACATCGGCGATCCAAAGTGTGGCTTCACTTTTCTAAAAATAACGAAATCTCGGCAAAATGCAAAATTTGTGACAAAAGGAGTATTTTTACAGAAGGAGTATTTCCTTCAGAAAGGATTATTTCCTTCAGAAAGGCCGTTGGTTAGCAAGGTTAGCTAAACTTTTTTGACCCTGCCTCTTAAAAGAATCGGAATCGAGAATCGTTAGGAACCGGAATCGAAACAAGGAATCGGAATCAGAATCGTTCAAATTCAAACGATACCAAACCCTACTGAAGACAAAGTGTGAGTGCTATTTGAGGGAACGACAAGACCAGACAATGGTGTGCAGGAGAAGTGTCTTTTTATCCACAAGTTTCCTACGCCCCATGAGGCCTTGCGTCAAAAGTGGGCGCGACTTCCGGTTGGAAGTAAACAAAGCGCGATTTGACATGCTTGACACTCGTTCATTCAACAGTAGACAGTCATTCAAGTTATAGCGATCCAAACTAGCTAACGGTGTGGGAACACAACCTCAACCAAATTCAAAAGGGTGAAATAACAGTACCTTTACCCTCCGCAGTAGTTGGTTAGGGAGTATTATAATAACATTATTAATAATCAATACTCATCAAGGAATGGTGACAGACAGTTGTGCGAGCTGACAAACAATTAAAATAAAAAATACACACTTAGTCATTGTGCTTTGGAGTTTATTCAAAATTATAAATGAATGTGCTGCTTGAATACATTAACTGGCACATTTGGTATTCTGTCAACACAGGCTTTGATCCCGAGTTTAGGTGTAACATCAGTAGCGAACAGCCAACCACATGCTGATAGAGTTTATAGAATATTAAGAATTTAAACAAATGTTCACAGGAAGATTTGTGGTCCTTTGGGAGGTGATGAAACTACAGTCGTTGGCAGGATCAGAGACGGGCTCTGCAGGATCACTCTGATTTCGTTTTCAGCTTATGTTCAAAACAATCACGTTTAAGCCACTGAACTAGTTTAATCCGGTTATACATACAACCGCGAACAGCACATGTTGTCCCTGAGCTCCGTAACACCATCTCTCATAAAGATTTGTGTCTTTAAATAGTAAAATAATGCTCCGAAAAACAGCTAGCCTCTTCGCTAACTAACACACAAAATACCATTGGAATGCTACTTCCGCCGCCTCACCGGAAGTTTCACCCACTTTATTTTTTACAGGAGCGCCCCTCGGAAACTTGTGGATAGGGAGTGCTGATGAGGTGCAGGTGCAGATGTAATTGGGGGATGGCTGATTGTGTGCAGGTGGGAAACATGAGGGATGCTGGGAAGTGTATTGCTGGTGTAGTGACTGGATGCGTGACAGTAACTGTTGGGAAAGGTTGGAAGAAGTGGCGAAGGGCTGGAGAAGGAAGGAGTAATTCAAGGAGTCTACCCGGAGAGGGAGGCTGACGTGGTTAGGAGGGTCCAGCTGCCTCCAGGGTGGAGCCTTACGTTCGGGCGGCCAGGGTGGTGCCTACAGTTTGGGTGGCCAGTGCGGAACGGCCATCATGGCCTTATAATGGGACTCGGGTTTGGCCACTCTGGCCGGGGACCCATAGCCTCCCCACAAAAGTTTTCTTGGGCGGATCTATGGGCTCGCACTTAGGCCCAGGAACAGATACAGGCTCAGATCTTGGAACAGGAACAATTCTTGGAGCAGGAATAGGTCTAGGAAAAGGTCTAGGAGCTGGAGCAGGAACAGGTCTAGGAACATGTCAAGGAACAGGAACAGGTCTTGAAGCAGATCGAGGAACAGGAACAGGCTCTGACGTGGTGGCGGCCATACAGGCTGAGGGCTCAGGAGGCGAGGCGCCGGCCATCTTTGCCAAGGGCCCAGGCGGTGAGGCGGCAGCCATCTTTGCAGAGGGCTCAGGAGGCGTGACACGAACAGTCTCTGGGGTTTCTCTCACGAGAATGGGCTCAGGCATGATGATGACCTTGACGGGACAAGACTCTGGAAGAGCGGTTGTCTCGACGGCACAAGACTCTGGAGCTGGCTTGTGGGCTGAAGCGGGCTCAGGGACCGGCGCCGAATTCTCAGGCTCGGTGGCAGCCATGGAGTGAACAGTCACTAGCCCGGCAGGTATGACAGAAAGACATTTAGGCTTGATAGGCATGACGTGAAGAATCTCAGGCTTGACCGACATGACAAAGCTCACGCTGGGCAGATCTGACTTGAAGACATTCAGGCTTGATAGGCATGACGTGAAGATATGCAGGCGGTGTGGCGAGGAAGATGGCTTGTGATGGTGGTTGAGTGGCGATGTCATCATCAGCCTAACCCATGGTGAAGGGCTGAACCGCTCAACAACAGCACATGATCCAGGTATTGTGCGAATGAACCTGGTTTTGCGGCTGAAGCTGGCTGGTGTATAGAATCATCCAGTCCAAGCCCGAACAGGTTCTTTAGGACGCCATCTGTCCAGTTGGTGGTGAAACTAGGTAGCACTGCATGAAAAGTGGGATTTTCGTCCCCGTAAACTGCCGGAAATCTCCCTAATTTTCGGCAGTTAGCGACAATTTACAGACTGTGAACCTCGCGTTCGTCTGTGCCACATATTGACGGAAACGAACCATGACGTATGCATGCAGCGCTCGCGGAGGTGCGAATGGCCCTAATTAGCATATGAATAGCAGCACTGCGCGCCCCTTGCCAGAGAATGGCTTGAATTTCCTCACTCAGTATTGGTTGAAATTCTCTACATTTAAACAAGAAAATCACTCGTGATTGGTTGGCAGATCTGTTACTATTGGTCAGCCGACATAAAATTATAATAATAATAATAATCATAGCCTATATATATATATATATATTCATATGATATGCTATTATGTTGTATATTCATCCTGTGGACTAAATTATTATTACCATCAAGGACATGAATTTATTGAGGAAAGGAACATTTGCCACATACTGTTTATTCAAAGAAATAGCTTTATTAGAACAAACACACAACTATGTACACAGCATAGGAGAACATCTTCAAAGCACAGAAAACATGTCCTCCACCCTCTTACTCTGGAAACATGGGACAACATACATACAGCACTACAGTTATACAAATAAATCAATAATATATTGCATCTCTATTCAAAAATAAATTGCCCTGAATGGCATCAGAATTGGGCACCAGATATATCAAACACAATGTACAGTGGAGGCAGAATTATGAACGAATAATAAGGATGTAATTTAAAGGGATGGTTCACTTTGAAATTAATTTGATATGTTTTAGCTTGCCTCAAGGGCATCCAAGATGCAGGTGTCTTTGTTTCCACAGTATTTTCAATTTTGATATTTTTAGGTCAAACTGTTGTTGTCCGTCAGTCATATAATGGAGGTCTATGGTCACCACCTCAAAGAGCATGCACAAAGAAGACCAAATTAAACATGATTTAATAACTCATAAATTAAGTACACATTGATGGACTAAGACACGAAATGAGCATTTTGTGAGAGAAAACAAACAGTATTTATATTGTTATTGTATAAATGTGTGTGTGTGTGTGTGTGTGTGTGTGTGTGTATATATATATATATATATATACACATATTTAGATATACACAAAATGCAATATATCTTAATATGTTTAGATCTTCGCAGTAAAACTTCCGAAATCTGTGTAAACAATGAGTGACGTACCAGTGCAAGATCGCTTCCGGCACTTTCCGCCGCATGCGCAGATATATATACACACACACACACACACACACACACACTGTTCATTTTCTCACACAAACCGCTCGTCTCGTATCTTAAGCCATCAACGTGTACTTACAGTTATGATTCATTAAATCATGTTTAATTTGTACTTCTCTGTGCATGCTCTTTTAAGAGATCCCCATAGACTTCCATTATATGACTGACTGATGCCCTTGACGCAAGCCAAAACATTTCAAAAAATAATTTCAAAGTGAACTATCCCTTTAAAACTCTTAATTCAAGTCCTGTAGGCTTTGCTCATCAGGGCGAAGTGAATCCAAGTCTTTGCGACGCGTGCTTGAGGTTCACCTTGATGTACATACACCTCAGTGGCTGTGGAACCGAATTTCATGACCCCTTCTGCAAAGTTGAAAAAGACAAATGATTTAGATGTATGCAAAGGCAATCTGCCCCAAGCCCCCACATTTGTAAGCAAAAATATGTTTCTTCTGCATCCACTACCTGGTTTCCTTCAGGCGATGGCGGATGTCGACCAGTAGTTTCAGGACCTTTTTCTGGAACACTGAAATAAACAAACACATTTGGTGATGTTTACAATGCTCTAATTAGAATAACAAAGTTTGCTAGCTCACAAGAGAGAAGGTGTCTATTAAAAGTGTCTTCTCCACTGACAATAGATCAATACTTACCACCAGGTTTCAGTCACTGCATCTCCCAGTCTCAGTCACTGCATCTATACCACAAAAAAAAAAAAAAAAAGTGTTTTAAAAGTTATTATCAAATGATGAAACTGAACAGATTTATAAGATATTTAAAAACTTGGTCAAACATTTATAACTGAATATAACATGCCATGTTCCAGTTCTCTTTGGCGTTTTCACCACTGTCTTACTCTCAAAGTCATCTATAAACACAGACGTTAATCCAAATTAGTTTAGTTTTACTTTTTATTTGACTGGGGTCTGTTCAAAAGAAAAGAGGATGAGATCACAAAACGTAACGTTACCTTGTTTAAGTGTTTTTTTCTCCTATCAGCGAAGGACACCTCACTCCTTACAGTCCCTGAGAGACAAAACAAATCACAAACACCTGAAGATTTCACTCCATCACACAAAGTGATGCAATTTTACAAACAAGGATAGCCTACACTACAGCATACAAGCACATTACGCGCTTTATGTTTTATGATCCTGGCACTTATTATTTTATCATAATTTCTGACGATATTCAGAGTAAACGCATTGGGAAAAGCCAATTGAACACTCAGTACGAGTTAGTTTGATTACTAGCAAAGAATGGTAACGTTAGCTAGCTTGCAGCCAGATAACAACGTGCAAAATACAATTTAGTGTCCCAAATTGACATGAAACTAAAAAAGAATTAAGAGCAGCAAGCTAACGCAAAACAAAAAACTGTTCCGTTAGGTTAACACCCTTGGACATTCGCGGCAGTAATCACAGCAGATTTGTGAAGTTTAAGACAATAAAGCTAAACTACCAAACACTATAAGTAGACATGGACATAGAATTCACTAAGTTGGACGAACTTACCTTCAATTTAGAGGAAAAGATGGGTTCACCAGCGATCATGACGGCGAAGCAGGCTGAATATCTGTAGTTATTTTGCTTAAAAAACACGCCACATGCCTGGCACGTTGCCTCAGCCAATCAGAGTGGCTGACGTTACAGGTTGGATTATGATGATATGCTGCCTCAGCCAATCAGAGTTACGTTCACTGGTTTTTGACTCAGGTTGAAAGGCTGTCGTCGGCTGTCCTTGACTTTTCTGCTGCTGTTAGTTCATTTTAAATTAGGAATAAGGTGGATATACCTAGGCTACCATGAAATGTAAAAATACATATATGCATAAATAAATAACTTTATTAGGCTACTTAAAATAAATAAACCAGTAAAAAAAAATTGTAAAAAACAAAAACAAAAATCATCTGTTTATAACTGTGAATTAACATCAAAGATGTTATCATATATTTTGAAAACTGCTTCCGTAAATGTTATGATGAATCTTATAATTTTATTAGGAAAATTTCATATTCATAAGAGTAAAATGAATAATTCTAAACCTTGTTTGAAGTTTTTTTGTTTTGGTCTGATTTTCAGTTTTCAGTATTCAGTCTCTCAATTGTATCGATAAAAATGTAGTGATACAATTGTATTTGCTAAAGAATATTGAAGCTAATTGAAAAGTGAATTTATGTGTATGCTATTTTTTTTCTTTAAATAGTACAAATTACTGGTTTCTAACTTTCTCTTAAATCATAATATTATACACAATAGTCCCTTTCCTGTTTTTATTTCATTTGTTCAATTCTGTCCTATTTTTATTTGTTTCTTATTTATTGTGAAATTATTATTTGTTGATTGTTATCTTTTTGGATGTCATGTTATTGTTGTAATTGTTGTGCATTATGTGCAATGTTAAAAAAACAAAAAAAAAAAAACCAAAACAAAAAACAAAAAAAAAACACGGCAATTAGGTTATACTGAGCCTGATCTATTTCTACCAGAGATTGTCTCAGAATGAAGTTATACCTTTCAGAAAAATGTTACCTGGGGTGAAACTCCCCTACCCTTATTTGCATGTGTATAGCTCACAGCATTTTCATTTACATGTCAAAGCCTCCTCTAGATTTAGGAGAAGGGGGGACAATGGGGGGACAACTGCCAAGCAAGGCCCACGTCAATTTCCGGCAATTCACGGCAGTTTTGAGTGTTACCTGTAAATTGCCGTGTGCAGTCGTAAACCTGAACTTCCACGACAATCTACAGTGCCGCTTACTGACGAAAATCCCACTTTTCATGCAGTGTAGCTTTTCACATATTCTTTGAGCAGGCAGCCATCCCGGAAATGATCGGTTGGGTTTTAATGGCCTTCTGTCATGAAACAGAAGGATTCATACAGGTAAAGTTAATCAACGGGTTTATTTGCAGAAGTTAGTGATCTCAATGATGGAAGCAGGTGAGTAACGGATGAACATAGTGTTCAGGATGGATATCTCGATGAGTAATGGTCTTATCTGTTGCAGGTTCTGAAATGGAGATCGAGGCAGAAGACTGAAGATGGATACAGGAAGCCACCCACCAGGTTTGGCCACCTACACTGAAGCGTTTTTAAGTCTTTATATATTGGATGAAACATGAAGCTCTCAGTTATTAAATATGGAAATCATGTTAGTTTTATTGGTCCCACTTTATTAAGTGTTTAACTAACATGTACCAACATTTATATTAATCATAGAATACAATGCACTTAATGCACATCCATCCATCCATCCATCTTCTTCCGCTTCATCCGGGGCCGGGTCGCGGGGGCAGCAGTCTAAGCAGAGATGCCCAGACTTCCCTCTCCCTAGACACTTCCTCCAGCTCTTCTGGGGAGACATAGTCTTTCCAGCATGTCCTAGGTCTTCCCCGGGGCCTCCGCCCAGTGGGACGTGCCCGGAACACCTCCCCAGGGAGGCGTCCAGGAGGCATCCGGAACAGATGCCCGAGCCACCTCAGCTGACCCCTCTCGAGGTGGAGGAGCAGCGGCTCTACTCTGAGCTTCTCACCCTATCTCTAAGGGATCGCCCAGCCACCCTGCGGAGAAAGCTCATTTCGGCCGCCTGTATCCGGGATCTTGTCCTTTCGGTCATGACCCAAAGCTCATGACCATAGGTGAGAGTAGGAACGTAGATTGACCGGTAAATCGAGAGCTTTGCCTCACGGCTCAGCTCCTTCTTCACCACAACAGACCGGTACATCGACCGCATTACTGCTGAAGCTGCACCGATCCGTCTGTCAATCTCCCGTTCCATCCTTCCCTCACTCGTGAACAAAACCCCAAGATACTTAAACTCCTCCACTTGAGGAAGGATTTCTCCACCAACCTGAAGTGAGCAAGCCACCCTTTTCCGACTGAGGACCATGGCCTCGGATTTGGAGGTGCTGATTCTCATCCCAGCCGCTTCACACTCGGCTGCAAAGCTCCCCAGTGCATGCTGAAGGTCAAGGTGTGAAGGGGCCAACACGACAACATCATCCGCAAAAAGCAGATACGAAATCGTGCGGTCCCCAAACCTGACACCCTCCGGGCCCTGGCTGCGCCTAGAAATTCTGTCCATAAAAATTATGAACAGAACCGGCGACAAAGGGCAGCCATGCCGGAGTCCAACATGCACTGGGAAGAAGTCTGACTTATTACCGGCAATGCGAACCAAGCTCCTGCTTCGGTCATACATTTATTTAGTGTTTAGCAATGTTGTTGATCTGTGTTGTGCTACTTTCATGTTATCACTGTGAAGCTGCTTTGATACAATCTGTATTGTGAAAAGCGCTATATAAATAAATGTGACTTGACTAGACTTGACATACAGGGACCGGACAGCCCTTAGCAAAGGACCCCGGACCCCATATTCCCGGAGCACCCTCCACAGGCCGCCTCGGGGGACACAGTCGAACGCCCTCTCCAAATCCACAAAACACATGTGGACTGGTTGGGCAAACTCCCATGAACCCTCCAGCACCCCGTAGAGAGTATAGAGCTGGTCCAGTGTTCCACGGCCCGGACGAAAACCACACTGTTCCTCCTGAATCCGAGGTTCCACTATCGGCCGTATTCTCCTCTCCAGTACCCTGGCATAGACTTTCCCAGGGAGGCTGAGAAGTGTGATCCTCCTGTAGTTGGAACACACCCTCCGGTCCCCCCTCTTAAAAAGAGGAACCACCACCCCGGTCTGCCATCTCAGAGGCACTGTCCCCCACTTAATGCACATGCATGTTTTTTTTTTTTTTTACATTGTACTATTTAAAAAAAAAAAATCCCTGAATTTTATTATATCTGTAATTAATTGTATCACAATACCACAATTAAATGGAAATACTGGAGACTTTTAAATCATTTAACTACTTTGGTTTGAGAGGGTGTTGTCTGGGTGCTGAACTAAATTCTAAAATGAAAATGTGACAATGTATTGAGAAAAAGTCCAATAGTCTTTTTTTCATAAATAATGTAGCAGTGCAGCAATGTAGCAGTTTTACACAAATGCATAGTCCAGATTTTTTTTTATTAAATTAAATAATTTCATTTCATTTCATTTACCCTTTCTCTATTCTGTTAATTTCTTTCAGAATCACTTAATTTAATTCAGTTTTTTTGCTTGCGTATTAATTGTCATACAATTTCATGATTTAAATAAATACATATTCCAGCTTCATTTATTATTCTTTTCTCTAATCAATGTTTTTTTTAATAATTGTTATATATATATATATGTGACCAGAGCTGTAAATTAAAGGTTCTGGACTACGCCACCTGGTGCCTCTCACACCAGGATATACTCAGTACCTTAGCTGCTACAAACCTAATCTAAGGCAAGCAGGTTCGTAGAAATACACTAAGAAAGAACTAAACAGAGACGTGCTTTCAGTAGAAAAGAAACAATAATTTTATTGTACAATGTTATGACTAAAAGAGACACACCGTCATACTAGAGACACAGCACTAGCACGAAAGACTAGACCTGGTATTGGCTGTTAAATGAGGCAATGTGATAAGCAATTTAAACAGAAAATACTGATCCAAGGCAGATTACCTGTCCGGGACACGCGTGATGCTCACCGCCCGTGCTCTGGAATCTGGTGCCCACGATCACATGCATTCACACACACACACACAGGCACAACCACTACAAGCCAATGATCAAATCAATATTGTGAAGTGCAATTTACCACTACAATACATGGTGCAATGCGCGAGGACGGGACCAGGAACCTCTCTCGTGAGCAGTTATTATAAAACTCTGGAAAAGAAGAAATAAAAGTGAGTTATCACTAGCAGAGTAGATTGAGAATGTAAAACTATCACTAGCAAAACAGCCAATACCACATCAGTCGGACAGTTCGTTAGACGGAGGCTACGAAAGAAACACAACAATAAAAAAAAAGGAAAGATCTAACATAATTTGGGCAAGGCAAAGCAGCAGGAGCAATCTGCCTGCAGACACAAAATCATTAAAATTAATGCTCAATTCACACATGCACAAATAGTCATGTAACATTGCAAACAATATAATTTTCTTTTACCTCAACGTTGACTAATGAATTGACACAGTGGGAAAACAGCCCTTTGCGCCAATCTTCACAATCCTACAGGACAGTTGTTACACACAGCATATTCATTAAATACATTTATATTAAAACTTAACAAGAAAACACAACCACGAATTATGTCAGGGTAACACAATCAGACTCATTTTAAAAGCTTCTCACACTGGATCTTCTTGCAACGCAATAAACATATACCTTCTTGATGTTGTGCTTAAATGCGGTACAGCTACCCAGCAGGTGCTTTGCCCAAGACCTGTGCGCAAATGTGCTCATTAAAATACGTCCCAACAATGACACTCACATTATGATTAACAGTAAAATGTGCAAATACCTTCCGTAATACACAGCACGATTACCCGGAAGCGTCTGGCAATCAGTAAAACACCTTCGTTGCACAGGAGAACCACATACCGAAGTAACAGACAAAAAAAGTATCCAAACACGAGCGAATTCCTAAGCACAACAGTGCAGACTGTTTTATAGGAAGTGGCTTAGACGCAAATGAGTTGTT